CCAGCCCCCTGCATTCACTAGCAGGACCAAGTACTGATTTTGCTCCAGATCCATAAGTGGCCCCCTCAAGCATTAAACTCACAACCCTGGGTTTAGCAGGCCAATGCTCAAACCACTGAGCTATCTCTCCCCCCTTAATTTTGATAAGAACATAAGAACAGCCGTACCGCATCAGACCAAAGGTCCATCTAGCCCAGTATCCTGTCTATCGACAGTGGCCAATGCCAGGTGCCCCAGAGGGAGTGAACCTAACAGGCAATGATCAAGTGATCTCTCTCCTGCCATCCATCTCCATCCTCTGACAAACAGAGGCTAGGGACACCATTCCTTACCCATCCTGGCTAATAGCCATTAATGGACTTAACCACTATGAATTTATCCAGTTCTCTTTTAAACGCTGTTATAGTCCTAGCCTTCACAACCTCCTCAGGTAAGGAGTTCCACAAGTTGACTGTGCGCTGCATGAAAAAATACTTTCTTGTGTTTGTTTTAAACCTGCTACCTATTAATTTCATTTGGTGGCCCCTTGTTCTTGTATTATGAGAAGGAGTAAATAACACTTCCTTATTTACTTTCTCTATACCACTCATGATTTTATAGACCTCTATCATATCCCCCCCTTAGTCTCCTCTTTTCCAAGCTGAAGAGTCCTAGCCTCTTTAATCTCTCCTCATATGGGACCCGTTCCAAACCCCTAATCATTTTAGTTGCCCTTTTCTGAACCTTTTCTAGTGCCAATATATCTTTTTTGAGATGAGGAGACCACATCTGTACGCAGTATTCGAGATGTGGGCATACCATTGATTTATATAAGGGCAATAATATATTCTCAGTCTTATTCTCTATCCCCTTTTTAATGATTCCTAACATCCTGTTTGCTTTTTTGATCGCCTCTGCACACTGCGTGGACATCTTCAGAGAACTATCCACGATGACTCCAAGATCTTTTTCCTGACTCGTTGTAGCTGAATTAGCCCCCATCATATTGTATGTATAGTTGGGGTTATTTTTTCCAATGTGCATTCTTTACATTTATCCACATTAAATTTCATTTGCCATTTTGTTGCCCAATCACTTAGTTTTGTGAGATCTTTTTGAAGTTCTTCACAGTCTGCTTTGGTCTTAACTATCTTGAGCAGTTTAGTATCAGCTGTAAACTTTGCCACCTCAATGTTTACCCCTTTCTCCAGATCATTTATGAATAAGTTGAATAGGATTGGTCCAAGGACTGACCCTTGGGGAACACCACTAGTTACCCCACTCCATTCTGAGAATTTACCATTAATTCCTACCCTTTGTTCCCTGTCTTTTAGCCAGTTCTCAATCCATGAAAGGACCTTCCCTTTTATCCCATGACAGCTTAATTTACGTAAGAGCCTTTGGTGAGGGACCTTGTCAAAGGCTTTCTGGAAATCTAAGTACACTATGTCCACTGGATCCCCCTTGTCCACATGTTTGTTGACCCCTTCAAAGAACTCTAATAGATTAGTAAGACAAGATTTCCCTTTACAGAAACCATGTTGACTATTGCTCAACAGTTTATGTTTTTCTATGTGTCTGACAATTTTATTCTTAACTATTGTTTCAATTAATTTGCCCGGTACCGACGTTAGCCTTACCGGTCTGTAATTGCCGGGATCACCTCTAGAGACCTTTTTAAATATTGGTGTTACATTAGCTAACTTCCAGTCACTGGGTACAGTAGCCGATTTAAAGGACAGGTTACAAACCTTAGTTAATAGTTCCGCAATTCACATTTGAGTTCTTTCAGAACTCTTGGGTGAATGCCATCTGGTCCCGGTGACTTGTTACTGTTAAGTTTATCAATTAATTCCAAAACGTCCTCTAGTGACACTTCAATCTGTGACAGTTCCTCAGATTTGTCACCTACAAAAGCCGGCTCAGGTTTGGGAATCTCCCTAACATCCTCAGCCGTGAAGACTGAAGCAAAGAATCCATTTACTTTCTCCACAATGACTTTATCGTCTTTAAGCGCTCCTTTTGTATCTCAATCATCAAGGGGCCCCACTGGTTGTTTAGCAGGCTTCCTGCTTCTGATGTACTTAAAAAACATTTTGTTATTACCTTTTGAGTTTTTGGCTAGCAGTTCTTCAAACTCCTCTTTGGCTTTTCTTATTACATTCTTGCACTTAATTTGGCAGTGTTTATGCTCCTTTCTATTTGCCTCACTAGGATTTGACTTCCACTTTTTAAAGGAAGTCTTTTTATCTCTCACTGCTTCTTTTACATGGTTGTTAAGCCACGGTGGCTCTTTTTTAGTTCTTTTACTGTGTTTCTTAATTTGGGGTATACATTGAAGTTGGGCCTCTATTATGGTGTCTTTAAAAAGCACCCATGCAGCTTGCAGGGATTTCACTTTAGTCACTGTACCTTTTAACTTCTGTTTAACTAACCCCCTCATTTTTGCATAGTTCTCCCTTTTGAAATTAAATGCCACAGTGTTGGGCTGTTGAGATGTTCTTCCCACCACAGGGATGTTGAATGCTATTGTATTATGGTCACTATTTCCAAGCGGTCCTGTTATAGTTACCTCTTGGACCAGCTTCTGCACTCCACTCAGAACTAAATCTAGAGTTGCCTCTCCCCTTGTGGGTTCCCATACCAGCTGCCCCATGAAGCAGTCATTTAAAGTATCGAGAAATTTTATCTCTGCATTTCGTCCTGAAGTGAAATGTTCCCAGTCAATATGGGGATAACTGAAATCCCCCACTATTATTGAGTTCTTAATTTTGATAGCCTCTCTAATTTCCCTTAGCATTTCATCATCACTATCACTGTCCTGGTCAGGCGGTCGATAATAGATCCCTAATGTAATATTCTTATTAGAGCATGAAATTTCTATCCATAGAGATTCTATGAAACATGTGGATTCACTTAAGATTTTGCCCCAGATCCATAAGTGGATAAATCACATTTGAACATTCATGATATAGTAAAGCTTTTGGTACCATCATGATAACATGCTCCCTGCCCCATCTCCCGTGGCCACACATGTATGTTAGGATGCAGTCTGTGGACTCTAAGTTCTGACTTCCCACTACAAAGACTCAGGGCTCAATCCTGGAATTTGCTGAGCACTCTTGAACTGATCCAGCAAATCATTTAAGCATGTCAATGGACTGCAATATGAAAGGGGCACAAAAAAACCCTGCTTATTCCATGGGATGGGGGAAGACACTTCCCCACCCCATCCCCAACAAAACAGTAAGGAAGAATAACTTCCATAGTATGGAATATTGCCCTCCATTTCTAATTTCTCATGTGCTAAATTCTTCCTTCTCGACCATCTTTGAACAGTTTATAAAACACTGGGCCTCTGGAATGTGTTTATCCTTGGGCTGGATCAGATAGCTATGTAAACATTTTATATAGCTGATATTATCTGGAGTTCTTTGAAAACTTTGCACCTCAATTTTTTTAGTGAAGAAAAGATGGGGCAAGTGCAGACCAAGTCCTGGGAAAGATAAAAGGAAAGAGAAGGGAAAACAGGAAGCGATCCAAATGGTAAACAAGGACTGCAACTAGAACAGCAACTGAATGTTTTGTGGGGGGTTTCCTCAGGGAGACGCCTAGAAAGGACAAGCCTGTCCCACAAGCCTCAACACACTGTAGAACATTTATATGTTGCAATGGGAAGGAAAAGGACAGATTTGAAAGAACAGGGAAGTGGGATTAGTAAATGCAACAATATATTTTGGAGAGACCTCAAGAAAAAGAAGGTGTTGCCTTAAGTCACTACGTCTACACAGCAATTAAACACCCGCGGTTGGCCCAGATCACCTGACTTGGGCTACCGGGGCTCAGGCTGCACGGCTGTAAAACCACTTTGTAAACATTTGGGCTCGGGCTGGAGCTCAAACTCTGGGATCCCTTGAGGGGGCAGCAATTTTTAGCCCCATCACTCGAGACCTGCAAGCACAACTCAGTTGACCCAGGCCAGCCGTGGGCCTTTTATTCCAGTGTAGATGTATCCAGAGGGCCCTATTGCCTATTCATTAGAATTCCATGGAATCATGGGAAAGTTTGGATTTTACCTTTTGTTTCCTTCCATCATGACTAAACAATAGCAGGAGATACATTTTTAGATTCTTTTATCCACTCTTGTTTCTTTAGCTTTACCTTTTCTCAATTGCCTCATTTATTTTTCTTATTATTTCTCAACCTTCCCTCCTTGGACTAACCACTTTATTTCTTTGTAATGATCAGGGATTTGAAACGCTTTTCCAAACATTAAACCCAGATAGCAAAGACCTTATTTATTTTGATGGTGGGGTGCCGGAGGCACGGGGAGGCATTGATTTCTCTAGTAATTAATGTCTGTGCCAATTTTTGCACCAAGAGGATAGACAAGCCATCCAAGTACTCTGCTAGTTACATTTTCACCTCATTTCAGAAGCCGATGTGACTTATGTAATATTTCAGCTACATCCTACCATCTTCATCTTAAATTCATGGGTAACATGACTTAATTTTAAGTGCACTTCTAGTATTAGCTCCTAAAGATACTTTCATTTGTCTCCAAAATTGTTGTGCTCTTATTCTTACCTTCTTTACCTGGATAGGTTTTGTCTAAATATCCGCAAATTTCCTATTTACTATTTTAAATAAAATACAGTACCATTCAGTGAGCACGTGCCCGATGTCGATCTTTATAGATCTTTGTTACATTAGACACATTTACTCTTTTCCTTTTGTTCCTGCACTGGCAAAACCGTGATGTTAAAATCTAGGCTGGGTGCTTTTATATAAAACCACTCCGGAGATAAGGCCCATTTATCAATTTGAAATTCTTAAAATCTAAATCACAACCAGTTTCTTTTTCATATTCTTCTTATCCTTATTCATTTACGTTGCAGTAGTGCACATAGGCATGACGCATATTTTCACTTCTGTAGAAACTTCAGGAACATGGTGCAATTTAAAGCACCTAAAATGTAACCAAATAAATGAATGATTATATAATATCTATAAATAATTACCTTCAAGTGTTTCTCCTTGCCCAGGGAGGGCATCTCCTGGTCCAGATGCATACAAGGCAGTCACGGACAGTGCATATCTGGTGCCTTGTTCTAAATCTCTCAGCACTGTAGTGGTAGTATCACCCCTTATGGTTACCTCCTTGGCTTCACCTCCAGCCACTGGAGTATACGTTATACGGTACCACTCTACTTTGCCAGGTGCTGCACTCCAAGATAACTTCATTGTGGATGTTGTAGCATCAGAAACTCTCAGATTTCTTGGACTTCCTCGGGCTATACATGTGAAAAGACGTTGAAAGTGTTTTTGAAATTACTATGATATAATACTTAATTTTGATAAATCACTTTTGAACATTCATGATATAGTAAAGCTTTTAGTACCATCATGATAACATGCTCCCTTCCCCATCTCCTTTGGGCGCACACGTCTGTTAGGATGTAGCCTGTGGACTCTAAATTCTCACTTTCTACAACAGCTCCTCAGGGGTCAATTCTGGAATTTACTGAGTACTTTTGAACTGCAAATCACTTAAGCTTCTCAATGGGCTCCAGTATGAATGGGGCACAAAAAAAACCCATTTATTTATTACGTTAGTGAGATTTATTACATTGGTCACATTTACTCCTTTCCTTTTGTTCCTACACTGGCAAAACAGTGATCTTAAAATCTGGGCTGGGTGCTTTTATATAAAACCACCCCGAGATAAGGCCCATTTATGAATTTGAAATTCTTAAATTCTAAACCACAACCAGTTTCTTTTTCATATTCTTCTTATCGTTATTCATTTACATTGCAGTAGTGCACAAAGGCCTGACTCAGAATTGAGGCCCTTTGTTGCTAGGTGATATACAAACAGAACGGTAATCTAAACTCCTTAGCCCCCTTTTACTTCTGAGATTAAACTTTGATCTTCTGATGACTATGTAGTTTACATTTCGGTTTCTGCTGTGTTTTCCATACTCCTCTCAGTATTTGGAACCTTATCTCACAGCATTTCTGGGAAGTCCTTGTTTCAGGGCCCTATTTTCATCTGCTTTAAGACCCCTTCATACTGCTCTCACAGTGTAAAAGGGACCAAGTGTAAATGAGAAGTAAGCCCTTAACGTATTCAAGGGTGAGATTAACAATTCCCTTTTAGTTTATTTTATGGATGTGAACTACATTCATTTGCTGTTATTTTACCTCCTAGGGACATCAAGATACACCCCTGACCAGCACAGAACATAGCCACGTTTCCTTTCAAAGCCTAGTGGCAAAGTTACCCACACATTGACAATTATTGGATGACAATCAGAATGTTCAGACAGCAAGTAGCAACATCTACATCTGGGAAGTTCTCCACAGCAAGGCAGAGAGACATCATCCTACCATCCATATAAGGAAACCTATGTCTCCTGCTTATTGCTGCCAGTGTTCTGTTAGCATTCATTTCCAGGCTCTAGCTCTTATTGGTCACAAACAGCTGTGTTCCATTCTCTCTATGCATAGGCTATCTGTTGCTCATTTTATGTGACCCTGAATGTCTTACATTTAGAGTAAACGTCATTTCCAACCAGAGTTTCAATACAGGTTAAAGCTCTGCCCATGTTTTCAATCAGACAAGACTTTTTAACACCAAGATAATAAAAATGATCTGTCGCCAAACTGTTCCCGAGTTCACAGCCAGCTACATCCTGTAAGGCAGAGACCTATACTGAGGTTGGTTTGGAGGCGCACAGCCCCAGCTGTGCGAGTCACTTAGCCCAAAGCTTCCAGGAGCCCAGAGGATATTTTACCAATGCAACACACTTTTCCAGGAGGCATAGTGGGATCCTCCTGTCCAGTGAACATTCCCCACCTCTATCTGTCCTCTCTAGTGGATGCTAGCCCTAGATAGTCCTTGTGCTGTGAGTAGAGGAATGACAACTGTGCTTGATTTACAAGGATGGTCACAAAGGGAAGAAAGGAGGTTCTTAGGCATATTTTTTATTCAGCGTTTTACTTCTGTAGAAACTTCAGGAACATGGTGCAATTTAAAGCACCTAAAATGTAACCAAATAAATGAATGATTATATACTATCTAAAAATAATTACCTTCAAGTGTTTCTCCTTGCCCAGGGAGGGCGTCCCCTGCTCCAGATGCATATAAGGCAGTCACGGATAGTGCATATCTGGTGCCGTGTTCTAAATCTCTCAGCACTGTAGTGGTAGTATCACCCCTTATTGTTACCTCCTTGGTTTCACCTCCAGCCACTGGAGTATATGTTACAAGATATCGCTGTACTTTTCCAGGTGCTGCACTCCAAGATAACTTCATTGTGGATGTTGTAGCATCAGAAACTCTCAAATTTCTTGGAGTCCCTAGGACTATACATGTTAAAAGATATTGAAAGCATATCATGAAACAAGCCTAATTTCTTTCTTTCTTTTCAGATTATTATAAGAGAGATAGCATACACGCTTAAGTGATTTGCTGGATCAGTTCCAGACTGCTCAGCAAATTCCAGGATTCAGCCCAGAGGGTTGATCTAAGACCTGAAGGGAATTTTTTAAATATAACTTCACAAGAAGTTATTCCCTGAGACAAATTAGTGCTTTTTGATATTTTAAAGTGTTTTTTGAAATTACCATGATATAATAAACATCCATGATATAGTCCAACTTTTTGTACCATGATAACATTTTTTGCCCATTTCCCATAGACACAGATGTCCATTAGGGTGTAGCCTGTGAACTCTCAGTTCTCACTTTCTACTACAAATACTCAGGACCCAATACTGGAATTTGTTGAGCACTCTGAAACTGATCCAGCAAATCACTTGGGCATGTGCTTAATTTTAAGCATGTAAATAGGCCCCTACAGAATCAGGTTTAAGACTATCAGTAACAAAAAAACAAAACAAAAACAAACAAAAAAACAGAAAGAAAAAAACAGAGAGACAAGGAAGAACAATTTGCTTCCGTAAGTCACCATGCACATCTTTTATTGGTATGTATATTATATGGCACAGAAACTACATTAAAATAACTTTCAGGTTGATGCACAAAATTTATAAAAGCAATGAAAATGTGAGGTAACAGTGCAAAATTATTTTTGTGGTAACCATTTGTGCATAGTATCAGAGGGGTAGCCGTGTTAGTCTGGATCTGTAAAAAGCAATAGAGAGTCCTGTGGCACCTTTAAGACTAACAGATGTATTGGAGCATAAGCTTACGTGGGTGAATGCCCACTTCGTCAGACGCATAGGCACAGGAGCACATATGGTTCCCTATGGATAAGTCCAACAACCCTATGAGACACTTTAAGTACCACTCAAAAATACTGACTTCCACAATACAGTAACTCATCACTTAAAGTCGTCCCGGTTAATGTTGTTTCATTGTTATGTTGCTGATCAATTAGGGAACATGCTCGTTTAAAGTTGCACAATGCTCCCTTATAACGTCGTTTGGCAGCTGCCTGCTTTGTCCACTGCTTGCAGGAAGAGCAGCCTGTTGGAGCTAGCTGGTGGGGGCTTGGAACCAGGGTGGTCCGGCAGCCCCCCATAAGCTCCCCGCTCCCCTAAGTTCCCTGTGCGGCAGCCGCCCAGCAGGCTACCAATTGCCGGCAGTTCAGCTGTCCCTCCCTCCACTGCCATGTGCTGCTCCTGCCCTCTGCCTTGGAGCTGCTCCTCGGAGCCTCCTGCTTACTGTGCAGGGGGAGGGGGAAGAGGGGGCTAATGTCAGGGCGTCCCCCTCCCCCTGCTCCTGCCCCCAGTTTCCATTTAGCAATCAAAATTTGATCTTTATTTTTGTAACGTTTTAATGTTGCATAAACATTAAGAGCCCAATCCAACAGTTATTGAATTCAATGTAAAGACTATCACTGATTTTAATGGATGCTGGATTAGTCCCTAAATAAGCAACTTGCTGACAGTAGATAAAGATGTGTAACCTACAATGATATTACATGAACAATTTTTAGGCTTATACATACTTCGTTTGAGTTCAAACCTTTCAAATTGAAACGTTTTTGTAACAGACAATTCAGAAGTCTTATTTTCTTTGCCTGACATATATGTGGGCATTTTGCCCAAGGCACATCAACACGTTTAGGAGTTACAGATTCAAGAATGTATACAAAAGGCAAAATCCAAAGGTTCTTGATTAGAATTTGGGATGTTGTTATATTTAAATTGTTTCTCAATTAAACTTGCATGATTCTAAAACACCCCATTCATCTTGCTGTAACAAGAAAAAAGAGAAAGGAACATCCAAGTTACACATACTGAAAATAAAAAATATATCAAGGTGCACAACCTTCTTCTCAAGCCACACTACAAGCTTGTTATTTATTACGTACCTTCTTCAGTTTTTGCATATCCATTCAGTGAATTTCCAGGCCCAGACTGATACTCAGGAATAACATAAACTTCATATCTTGTATCGGGAGTCAAGTTCAGTAGCGTAGTTGATCTTTCATTTGCTGGGACAGTTACTTGTTTTCTCTCTCTTCCAGTCACTGGCCTGTATGCAACCCTATACCTCAGAACATTTCCTGGAGCTGGCGTCCAGCCAACCTTAAAGCTATCAGTAGTTTCATCTGTTATCATTAAGTTTCGAGGAGCCCCTTTAACTGCAAACAAACACAAATATAATTTGCAAACATTTGCCTTCAGAGAACCAACTGCATTACTTCATCCCACTTACCAAGACCAGGGCCTACATTTTCAAAAAGGGAATAGTTATTTTTCTATGCTTCTCATTTTGGATGACCAATCTGAGACACCTTATAAGGGCTTGGTGTTTCAGAGAACTGGTACACAGCACTTTCTGAAAATCAGGCCCCTTTAATGCGTACCACCTCTGACTGCCAGAAGGGGACCAGAAAACAGGGGATGAATCACTCAGTAAATTGCCCTGTTCTGTTCATTCCCTCTGAGGCGTCTGGCACTGTCCACAGTCGAAAGACAGGATACTGGCATAGATGGACCATTGGTCTGATCCAGTATGGTCGTTCTTAAGGTCTTATCAAGTCAGGCCACCAAAATTATGAGTTGCTTTTGAAAATTTAGAACCAAAGCTACAACTTAAACTGCACCAATGTTTGCTGATTTATGTAACCACTCAAGGATCTGCCAAAGTAGTTGTTTAACAGAAGTAGCCTTCTAATAAAGGTAGAGTAGAGCTGTACTCAGTGCATTTGTGTATACTCTCGGGCAGTTTCTTAAAATAACAGGTTGCTTAATAAAGATTTTTTTTTGCACACATTTCACTGATTGTGGGTATTAACTTCTGTGCCATCCCCAGTCACGGGTGAGTGTCAGATGCACTTGACTATACATATGCGCACACCAGATTTTGAAAAGCCATCTAATGTAGTAATCAGGAAAAATATTGAAAATATTGGAGCTCTATAAGCTAAATTCTCAGCATTGATATGAATTTTTCACTTATTGACTATTTAAAATGTTTATGAATTAGGCTGTTCCCCTCAAGAGAGAAAATCGCTTGTTATCCTGGAAGATAAGAAAAACTAAGGCCTGCTTTGTAGCATAGCCTGCTCCTTGACAAAAACGATGGCTTCAGCTGAGACCATTCAGCTGGATTGGATAGATGGAAAGGGCAGAATTTAATCCTTTGCCACATACCTTGGGCCAAATTATATCATATGTTGCCCAGCAGTCAATGGGAGTTTATTCACATGCATTTGAGGACAACATTTGCTCTTGAGTGTTCACTAACCACATCAAGGTAAACTTCCTCAACAAAAATAATTTGAACATCGTTATACCAGAAATATTGTTCATTGTTATTCAATTAAAGATCTGTTTGAAAGTTGAACAAAAAACACTTCCTTTAAAAAAACAAAAATTTATTTTTTCAATTGACCATAAATGCAGAATAGGATTTAAACTGTAGCTGCCTAAGGCCCAAATCAGCTATCAAGAAACCAGCTATTCAACCCAAGCTGCTGGCAACTCAGCATGCAGAACTATTGGCATTTACATGGCATTAGTGGCTTCTCAAAAATGGCAGGATTTTATCAGATCAAAATGAGGAGCATTTTAAAATGCACTATCAGTCACAATATGGAGTGTATTTCTGACATGTCTGAAATTTTGGTTAAAGCTGCTGTTCCCCCAGTTCTTCACATTTCAAACCTACATTTCTATGATTTATGAAGTGTGGATAGTATCAGCCAAGCAGCCATTTGAGGCAGATGATTTCCTAAGGGAGAGTTGCATGTGGCTAAAACATTATGACCTGTGCAGTTACAGTGAGATTATGTATACCAACACATACAGGATGAAAGTCCAGATCCTCAACTCCCATTCATCTCAAAGTCCGTTAGGTGTCTAAATGCATTTGAGGATCTGGGCCAAATTGGACTGTTCCCTCAATCCAAGCCATTTTATAAATAAACACATATTTTAATCAATACTAAGGAAAATACATCAACAGAATAGCTTTTCATGCTATTCCCTTTGTTCGTGTAGTTCACCAGAATCTTCTGGAATACAAAGGTCGAAGATTATAGGGTGAACTAGGAATATGGAAAGTAATGTGTACAGCTTAATAGCCTAGCTAGATTAGATTGAATTGAATAACTAACTATAGGGGTAAAAAAAATAAATTAACTGTAATGTTACCCCTTAAAATAGGCGTGATCTTGCAGACGGTACTCTCAGAAAACTCCCGTGGTAGTCTAATATCTAAAGTGTCAGGCCCATTAAGTCTTGCTATTAGGGAGTTCCCATCTGGGAAATAGAGTTCTTTATTCTATCCATATAACCTTTTTTTCTATAAACACAAGTTAAAAGACCTAGGTGCAGCAAACCACTTAAGTATATGCTTAACTTTAAGCATGTGAGTAGTCCCAATGAATTTGCTGGATCGGAGCCTTAACCAGTGTGTGTTCACATTATACTTTTTTTGTTATTTAATTTATTGATACCACCATACTCTATTGGAAAAGCGGCTTCTGAACCTCCAAGAAAACACAGTATCCAGCAAACTTAAGGGAAATAAAACACAACCTTAAATCTAATAGTTGTCCTTTATTGAAATTTTAGACCTAAAGGCCTGGTCTCCACTGGGGGGGGATCGACCTAAGATACGCAACTTCAGCTACGAGAATAGCGTAGCTGAAGTCGACGTATCTTAGGTCGACTTACCTCATGTCCTCACGGCGCAGGGTCGACTGCCACCACTCCCCCATCGACTCTGCTTCCATCTCTCGCTGCGGTGGAGTACAGGAGTCAACGGCAGAGCAATTGGGAATCGATTTATCGCGTCTACACTAGACGGGTAGTGTAGACGTACCCTTAGTCAAAGCACTGGGAAACAGTAATTCCCATTCTCATCCCCCATACCAGTACCATCTCTCAGCATTAGGTTGGTATTCCACATACACAAGTTCTCTCAATAAAGCAGATTGTTACTTGAATACATAACATGTTTCTGGCTGAGCATAATAGGAAGGGTACCTTCTAAAGTCGTTTCTTCCCCATCCAAGGAAGGGCCATCACCATCTTCATACTCTGCAATCACACTGACTGAATAAAGAGTTTCAGGGAGTAAATGGGTGAGAACTGAGCTAGTGCTTGAAGCTGGCACTGAAACAAGGAATTCTTCTCCACCAGCAGCTACTTTATATTTAATAAGATAGGACAAAACCTCAGATCCAGCTGGAGACCAATTCACTTTGAAACTGTTGGACGTTACCTCAGAAAAGGCCAAATTACGGGCAGGTAAATAACCTGTTTTAAAAAAAGCCACACATTACAATAAAACACTTAAAAACCCCTTTAAAATCACTCAAAAACATTTCCTGCAGTCAGCTTATTTCTTTGATTCAATAAATATTTTCTTGATATGCACCTATGCTTGTTTGTCATTGTCACTCATGAATGCATAAAATTCTATGATGATCTCCGAGTTGTCTTAAACAATATGACAATGAATAGAAGTACCAACTCAATCCGGGCCGGCTCTAGGATTTTTGCCGCCCCAAGCTAAAACAATTTTGCCCCCCCCCCCCCCCCGTTTTTTAA